CACACACACACACACACACACACACTCTATATATATATATTATTTCTTATATATATATATATACGCACACGCACACACACAAACATATATATATAAATGTATATATATATCCGTATAACCATATATTCATTTCAAATTTATATTTTAATATATATATTCATAGATATCTTCGTTAGCTATCTACGTGAAGGCTTGATGGATAAGCTCCTCATGTAGCTGAGTCATTGGTAGTGATTGTTGGTAGTCGTAGATATATCAGAAACACATCTAGAGAATACGGTGTCTTTTAGCTATTGTGTTTATGTTCGTTCTGTATGCGGAGACACAGACATTCAGTTCACATCAGCAACTTCACGTCTATACATGTCCGGTGCTTTCCGCACCCGCTAGTAAGGCGAAGCATCACTATTAACAACATGCTTATGTGGATCTCAATCCAACACACACATCAGGTGGAGATCGCGAACGGCGCCATGCTCACTCTGTCCACCAATAACGAGTACTTCTCAGAGGGCACCAGCAACTGTGTGTACGTCGACTACGAAGGACTGCCGCGTGTAGTGCGAGTGGGGAGGTGAGGATGGTTTGTTCTGATTGTTATGTGCAAGGGGTTCTTATTATTATTATTGAATGGGTCTCGGCTTGTTACACTGGCGTATGGGGTGTATTTAGTACTCACGATTTGTGAGTGTCGTTTTTGGGTGCTCACACAGGTATGTTACGTGTGCGCGGGTGTCTTATTTTAAAACGTGTATTGCGAGGATGGTCGTGGCAGCTATACTATTATATTGGATATACATACAGATCATGGGCGAGTCGTATGACTGTAGTGTCCGTATTGGCAGGTATAGTATTATATTGGATATACATACAAATCATAGGCGAGTCGTGTATGTTCTGGACTGTTATGACTGTAGTGTCCGTATTGGCAGCTATACTATTATTTTGGATATACATACAGATCATAGATGAGTGGTATGTTCTAGACTGTTATGACTGTAGTGTCCTTATTGGCAGCTATACTATTATATTGGATATACATACAGATCATAGGCGAGTTGTATGTGCTGGACTGTTATGACTGTAGTGTCCTTATTGGCAGCTTACTATTATATTGGATATACAGACATATCATAGGCGAGTGAGTTGTATGTTCTGGACTGTTATGACTATAGTGTCAGTGTGACACGTCTTACGTGTAGACTGACGATTGGTTCAGCGCCACAACTGTATTTTAGTTTCCCACAAACCTCAGTGGCGCAAATCGCAGAGCACGGCCATTCTCTAACCCCATACGATCGAATGTTATGTGTGTATATCTTGCTATGTGTGTGTATCTTAGAGCTATGTGTGTGTATCTTAGAGCTATGTGTGTATATCCTAGATCTATGTGTGTATATCTTAGAACTATGTGTGTATATCTTAGAGCTATGTGTGTATATCCTAAAGCTATTTGAATGTCTATAAATGCACACACTGTTAAAAGCTCATTCATTGCAATACGCGTAGCTCGTACAGAATACTAGTATCTATGAAGCAATACGCATACGTAGCGTATGTAAGACCATCTGAGTGTAAGAGTTCTGCACACACAGTGACTGATTAACACTATCATTAGCTGAAAGCCGAAGTGGGCCGTGAGACTATCCGTACACGTGGTAGTCTCTGCATGCACATCCGTGGCACTAGTGTTGTGTGTACACTCGTGTTGTGTTAACAGGGGCAGATGCACGTGTCAAGTGGCGGGTAGTGGGTGTGAGCTGTCTACCTACCGAAAGCATTTTAGTCCTATTCATGAGTCACCGTGGCCTATGATTGTCCCTTTGGCTTCTTTAGCGCACACAGCCTGATACGCACTAGCAGTTGGCTCTACTCAAGTGCGTAGTGGGAGGGATCGTGTAGGTCACGAATGGTTGTAGTAGAACAATAGCTATAGACAACTGCTTTCTCATGGGGTTTTCTGTATACATACGCCGCAAGACTTCAAATAACACACACACGGATCCCTGTACACAGCTTGATATACATTGACGATGGACTGCTCAAGTTTGTTGTAGCAGAGATTGGAGATGACTATGTCATCGCTAAGGCCGAAAACGGAGGGTGGCTGGGGCCACGCAAGTGCATCAACATCCCTGACGCAGATGTCGATCTACCCCCGTTGTCTAAGCGCGATGTGGGTACGTTCTCGCACACATGGATATTGAGGG